TAAATGTGTCTGTATATAGAAACATACTAAAAAATAGGGTTATATATTGATTCCTTGAAAATGTGGCTATGGCATGCTCACAGGAACCTAACCCTGTATTTCCCTTAGAAACAAAAATTCAATATTCACCATTCAGTGTCTATAGATAGACTATAATTACCGCAGGTTATAAGAACCAAGCATGTATCCAAACAATCACCAAGTCCTATAGGTGCTGATCATCTCTAGAACTCTAGAGATAAGGGCTGTGAAGCAAGCAAGTTTCCAGCACAGTAGCAGTAAGGGAGATTGAGTGAGACATCAAAAAATAACCAATTACAAATAGACTGATGGGGGCTTTAGAATAATTAAAGAAAGAATGCATTTCATGAGGCATCACTCCATAACACCTAATCTAATGACTAGGTGATCTAATGGCTAGGACTCAGCACCGCCACTACAGCCTGGGATCAATTTCTGGCTGAGGAACTAGACTTGAAAAACTGAAATTCTGATAACAAAATCACCTGTGCTGTCACTATCACTTGCCTCTAACACACTTCCCTACTTCCAACTTCTGTATCCTGGTAATCCATTCTCAAAGGGATCAAAGTATCTTTAAGGCAAAATGGGTTTCCATATTAGTTTCTGATTTAAGTCATTCAGTGATTTCCTAATGCAACTGAAATATCCAAAATCCTACACAGGTCCATGGGACTGTCCTTGATACCCTGCTGATCTGATGGTATTCTTTGAAAATCAAGAACTTTTCTGCCTTGGGCAAAGTTTTTGAATTTTCAGAGGGTGGTTTTTTTGTTTGTTTTGCTTTTGCCTTCTTTCTGCTCTTTTTTCACCCAACTTCTACTGAATCTTCAGATGTAGGTTTAAATGTAATTTCTTCAAATATAGGGGAATCAAATAAGGGATGGGGAGGGGAATAATAAACAAAACAAAAATAAACAGGCAACTATAAATCAGAGACATTCTGCAAGGGAGAGAAGGGATCAAAACAAGGGTGGGACGAGCACAAGGGACTACAGTGATGGTGCACAGGGAACCCGGTGGTGGGAATTCTATGTAGAGTACACCGGAGAGTAGAAAGCAAGCATTGTACAAAAATGAACAATGATGGAAAATATATATAAATAAATTATATAAAATTTTAAAAATCCGTTTCCTTGCAAAGAAAGCTTTCCAGCCTACATGGCGACCCTGCATTATACATATTTACAGCATCCTCTACTTAACAACTCCAATTTGTTTGATATCTGGTTGTCCACTAAGAATATAGTTTCATGAGGATAGAATAATGCCTTTTCAGTCACACTTCCTTTCAAGTTAAAGAACCAACTTTCAACATTTTCACTGCATAGCTTTCCCAAGCTTGGAGCTATGCTTCACTTTCAGTATCAGTGTCCCATCACAGTGTCCTCTCATTTCACTCTGTAGTTAACAATCTGTGACCACATACACTGAAATAATTCTTTTATCTTTTGCTGTTTTGCCATTCTAAGAAATTTACATTTTCACAGATGCCCTCTTCAAAGTAAACCTTTTGCTCCAAAAAGTATTTTCCTATTGAGAATAGCCGCCTAGCAACCTCTCCTCAACCCCCAACCCCCAGCTGCTGTGACTTTATTAGAAGCCTCAACTGGCCACATTTTAGCACTAAGCAAAAGCTGAGCTGGTTTCTCTAACCTTTCCTGAATCCCTACAGCTATACAGGGCTTGAAAAAAGTCTACAGTGCTAACCTGGTGGCTTCCAACAGCTCACAATTAAGGAAAACCTGCTGAATGATTTGGTGGCCACTGAGTGGACGTGGTGTTATGTCAGTGAAATCATCGGCTAGCAGGGCATCACTGCCTAAGTTTGAAGCCCAGTCTTTAACATCTCATTACATCTGGTTTATTATTGAGTGTTCTTGAACCTCGTGTAATCAGATTAGTATTCAAGTAAAATAATGTGTCAAAATTTTTCTTCAGATGTTTTTGAATAAACACATAATTTACCAATATATTTCTCACAGAATTACATTCATTTTAAAATCCAAGTTCCAAATACATTTCACTATTTTCATTTTTTATACATTTTTTCAGTGCCTTTTCCAGCATTTTCTAAATGATTCTCCTTCACAGCCAAGGTAGCCCTATAATGTGAAATGCCAACTACCAAAGCCCTGTGTGTCATGACTCTGTACTCTTTCCTGAACGTCCATGGTCTTTGTCTATTCTGCAGGTGAATGTTCATGTGATGCTGGTGATATACACACCAAATTATTGATGATGACCATGCTGATAAATTACAGTATTTGGTTCTGCAGTGTCTTTTCAACACCACCATTTGACTTGCCTGATGAATTTTTAGAAATTTTTGGGTTTTATTTTGATATAATTTGCAAAAGTTTCCACAAAACAAACTCCTGATCTATAAGATCAAAGAGATGAAGAATGACACTAAACACCAAGCAGCTCAGAGCTGGAAAATGAAACAAAATCTGTGCAGTGGGTTAGCAAAACACTAGTGCAACTAATGAGCTATGCCCAAGTGCTCACTTTTTCCTCTGCGTGATGGTTTTTAAGAACTATTACCAACAACAAACCAAGTGAACCATAGTTTGATATTGCAATCTAAAATAGTTGATGGCATCCTCTACTCTGTAATACAATCTCTGTAACACAATACTATTTTATTCCTGAGCCACAAGGTTTTTTCCCTATGGAAAATGGGGAACAAAGGATAAGAAACTGTGCCCCCCACCCCTCTGCATTCAATACTCTTTTATATCTGTCTCCAAAGAAGCTAAGCTTTAACATGTTATCAATTTATTGACTCTTATATCGCAATGTGAAAGATGTTCTAGTGTTTTAAACAGAGATTTTTGCCTTTGGAACACTGTCTTTTCATGATACTATAAATCCTTTTTTTTATCTGGCATTATTCAGAATGAAAAAGCTCCTAATGGAAGCAAACTTTCCATTAAAAATGATTCTTGTGGGCCCTCCCTGGTGGAGCAGCGGGTTAAAGCACTGCACGGAGAATCTAAAGCCACTTCTGCATGAGTTCGATTCCCGTCTGCCCCGGAGGTGACCACATGGCCTGGCAGACCTCTCCTGACCCGCCCACTGCTCCCCTCAGCAGTGTACTTCGTCGATCTGCCTGTTCTGCTCCCCACTCTGTCTCTGGTGAAGCCTCTCACCGCCCCTGCACCTCTAGCCTGTACCCCAGTTCTGTATGTACAAATAAATAAATCTTTAAAAAAAAAAATGATTCTTGTGGCCCTCCCTGGTGGCGCAGCGGGTTAAAGCACAGCACTAAGAAACTAAAGCCACTTCCACATGAGTTCGATTCCCGCCTGCCCCGGAGGCGACCACATGGCGAGGCAGACCTCTCCTGAACCGCCCGCTGCTCCCCTCAGCAGTGTACTTTGTCGATCTGCCTTTTCTGCTTCCCGCTCTGTCTCTGGTGAATCCTCTCACCCTCCGCATCTCTGGCCTATACCCCAGCTCTGTACGAATAAATAAATAAATCTTTAAAAAAAAAAAATGATTCTTATTAAGTAAGAAACTAAAAGGTGAGAGATTTTACCCTACTTGCAACCTAACAAGCTAAGCTGTCACAGTACTTCTATCTTTGATACAAATTTTAAACTCTAATATATTAAAGCTTTCTACCATCTAGCAGCCTCAAGTTAATTTTCTGTTTTTTACTTCCATTCCAAACTATTCCAGTTGTTTTTTTTAATTAATAATGTGTGTATTTACTGCGTTATTTTGACTCTTCCGCTAAACTTTAAATTCCAAGCAATGGGATCAAAAACGGGGGGGAGGGGGGAGGAAGGGAAATGCACGGGACTATGGTGGTGGCACAGGGGTGATTTGGTGATGGGAAACCCGTGGGGATTACAATTGAGATGAAAAAAAAAATGTGCAAAATGATGTAAATTCCAAGCAAGCAGAAACCATATCTACTTCATTCATCCTATATAGCCAACATACTAGAAACCTGTTACAGAGTTATCACTAATTATACATTTGCTGATTGAAATTTTAAAGTGATTAAATGTAAACTGTGTCTACCTAAAAGCCTACACATACTATTCCTCATTGCTTTTCCCCTCTTTCCACACACATCTTGAAACCTGTATGAGTCCTCACCTGCCCTCAGGATCTCAGATGGTCCCCTTTCTCCTCTTTCCCCACTAATATACCTACAAGACTTTATTCATCCTCACAACCCTGTTACTTTCTCCAATCAAAAATAAAATGAAGAAATGGAAGCTTACAAAGATTAAGAAGTGTGTACAAAGTCATAATCCAGTAAATTAAGTATTAAAATCAGGTCTGTATCACTCCAAAGCCCTTGTTCCTAACCCACTCTTCTACTGTATCTTTAACTAAAAGGAGTCTCATGAGTTACTGATTTAAAGGCCAGTGCTGTCATAAAGTAACAGTATAATACTGAGAAGCCTCAGATGTTATACAAATAAAGTAGGGTTAATTATAGTACTTACCCAAAAAAATTGTAATGATTAAATCATAAAAAGCCTTTCATACAATACCTTGTACTTAACACAGGAAACACACAAGAAATGATAACTATTATTATAATTATTCTACACTGAAACAGATGCCAGCAAATTTTTCTGTAAGGGTCAAATAATAAAATACTTAGTCTTTGCCATACAGTCTCTGCGGCAGCAAAATATGCAACAAACTGACTGATTCGGACCAATAGAGCAGGGTTCTTCAACCTCAGCACTATTAATATTTGCAGCTGAATATGTGTTGGGGAGGGTATCCTGAGCATTGTAGGATGTTTAGCAGCATTACTGGCCTCCACCTACTAGATACCAGTAGCATCCCCCAAATACCTGGTGGGGAAGAAAATTGTCACTTGTTAAGAAACACAGCTCTAGAGCAATCAAATATATTAAAGATGCAGTTTTAATTTTCTTATTAAAAAAGTACCTTAACTAAGTGGAAAAATAATCTACCACACTAAAAAGGGTGTTTATACTCACCTAGCTAAAATTCCCACACTTAGTAGCAACTTTACAACTTCAGTGATACACACAGCTGTGGTTGAAAAGTAGAGTTCTTTGTCTGTTGTCCTTGTGTATCTTAAAGCTATGGTATAAATTGCAGCCACCAGCGTCATCACTGTCAAGCAGTATAACTTGTATAATAAACTGACATTTTCTGGAAAATATATGCAACAAAGATTATTTAGTTAATAAAAGTCAAACTACATTATTATATTAAAATGTTTTTCAATTTCAAGAGCAACATACGTTTTGAAACCCATGACTTAAAATTTATTTGAAAACAATTTCCAACTGCATGAACACAATCATACATATACAAAGCACAGCTGACTATGCAACAATAAGGCATAGTTTGGTTGCTGGGAAATGCCTCAAGTGCAAGATTATGTGGTATAATGTTATAAATTACATACTTAATTATTCAAACTTGTGACAACAGAGCATTAAAAAAACTTGAAACAACTGTGTTCTAAATTTAATGACAACAGAAGGAAAACAAAAGGAGTAACTGAATGATAAAAGTAAGCTTACTTAAGGGGAGTGGAAGGGAGAAAACAAAGTGAGGAGGGAGTTAAAAAAATGGAGTGTAGAGGACTATGGGTATGCTGGTGGTGGGTGTGGTAATACACACCTGAAAGATGTGATCCTATACCTTCAAGTCGTATATGGTGCTGTGAACCAATGCTACCCCCAAATAGTTTTCACTAGCTTATTCCTTACCAAGTTTCAGCTTATTATGATAACTGATGTAATTATGTATAGAATTAAGTTTTTCACCCACTAACTAGTGCATAGGGGCATGGGAGGAAGGAAAGAACTTTAATAGTCAAATAAAGAAATAAATCTCTACATCGCATTTATATTGTGAGCTGACTGCTTGTGCCCTCTTAGATCTTCAAGACCTCTTGAAAATAGGACTCCCCAAACTTCTGGAACCATGTATTGCTGGGGCTGCTATGTGTGTGCATTCACAATTACAGAGAATGTTGCCACAGCCGCTTGGCCATTGCATTAAGGGAGGACCCAGAAATCTATGTAATAGAGTTAGAAAAGTGCAATATTATAATTTTTAACTGAGTTGTGTAACTAATGATATAACATTATATGTAAAAATAATTCCAAAAGAAAGTATTAAAATCGGTTCTATAAAATTTGAAATTACAACGTATAAGCACTTAGTTTAAGAACTGCTTGCAAGTCTATCTGAGCAGTAGTCATCACTCAGGTATCAAGGCCCACTCAATAGCTGGGATAAAACCACAAGCTCTGAGATACAAGTCTCCCTCACAGCCCCCTGACTTCTGATACTGCCATTAACAAGGCTTCAATTGTTTCTACTTTCTTTATCCAATTCCCACAGGTCATTCCCAGCTCTCCTTTGCCTTCATTCAAATCTGCAGCTCAAGTTAAAATGAGATTAATAGCAAATTATTTCTGTAAAGGGCCAACAGTAAATATTTTAAGATTTACAAACCACAAGGCAAGATCAGGAATATCATGTGGGTACTTAAATAATAGCAAAAAAAAATCCTCACAACTTTTTTTACAAATTAAAAATATAATACTTGACTACATAAGTTAATTATAACATAGGCCTACTATCAAAAAGCATGGTACTCACTCATCAAAGTTAGTGTTCCATCAAATCAACAGCAAATGTTCATCTGTAGAAAACATTCTTAGCTCACAGACCATACAGAGATAAGTAATAGGCTAAATTTGACCAATAGGTCAAATTTTACAAACCAGGATTAAAAATCAGAAGGAGAGGCCCTCCCTAATGGCGCAACAGGTTAAAGCACAGCACTACGAAGCTAGCCACAGATGCTGCATGAGTTCAATCCACCCAGGGAGGTGACCCACATGGCACAGCAGACCTCTCCTGACCTGCCCGCTGCTCCCCTCAGCAGTGTACTTCGTCAATCTACCTGTTCTGCTCCCCACTCTGTCTCTGGTGAATCCTTACTGCGCCTGTACCTCTGGCCTGTACCCCAGTTCTGTATGCATAAATAAATATTTTTTGGCCCTCCCTGGTGGCGCAGGGAGTTAAAGCACAGCACTGAGAAGCTAAAGCCTCTTCCTCATGAGTTCGATCCCCACCTGCCCCAGAGGTGACCACATGACACCGAACACCTCTCCTGACCCGCCCACTACTCCCCTCAGCAGTGTACTTAGTTGATCTGCCTGTTCTGCTCCCCACTCTGTCTCTGGTGAAACCTCTCGCCATCCCTGAGTCTCTGGCCTGTACCCCAGTTCTGTTTGCACAAATAAATAAATCTTTAAAAAATAATAAAATAAAATAAATAAATATTTTTTTAAAAATCAGAGGGAGGCAGGGTAACTCTGGGCTGCTACTGTTAACTAGTCATGGTTACTATACTGCTTTGAGAGCCTAACCACAACTCAAAGAACTTCCATAGGGATATGTTAGAGTCTAAAATAATTATGTTCAGTTATGTTAAAGTATGAATTTACAAGGAAATTGGATCTTTAATAAAATACCTTTCTCTGGGTAAATTAACGAATTATATGTAAACTATAGGCAAATTTTAAGAATCACATGTCTTAACAAGTAATATAATAAAACCAGGAAGAAACACCCTGTATTTGCCTAAACTGTGTTTCTAAAAGACCTGTGAGCTAAAACACACTGTTAATGTAAAAGGAAGTGGAGATCATTACAATACTTCCTTCTCAACATTTCCTACATTGAAAAGTGTATGACTTCAAAAATAAACAGCAATATTTTTTATTCGTTATAGGAGAAAGCACCTCCTAACTTCTAAATCGGGGTTGAACAAATAACAACTCACTGCTTATTTCTATCTAGGCAGCTTGGAATCATTTTACATTTTTAAATGGTGGGGGAAAGTTTTTAAGTAACTTTATGACACATGAATATTATAGGAAATTCAAAGTTAAGTGTCTATAAATTAAGTTTTATTGTAACAGAGCCACATTAATTTCTAAACTGTCTATGGTTACTTTTTTGCCCCGCAACAGCTTCAGTAGTTAGGACACAGCAAACCCAGCTCTCTACAGAAAAAGTTTGCCAAACTATATCCTAGATTATCAGCACTTTCATAAACTATATCCTAGATTATCAGTACTTTCATAGTTTGGGCTTCCAAACTAGAAACTACTTTGTTTAGCAATTAAATAGGTTCCTAATTCCAAAAACAACAGCAACCGCTTAAACACTAAACCAATTATTTCAAGCCTACAAAACATCCTGAACTAGAGTTATTATTGTCATCAACTATGAAAGAAAGCTGCAAAGTGATTATAAGGGAATATATACTATATTTGTGAAAAGCACTGAGCTACATAGAATAGTAAATTAATACATCTAGGTATCTGTGAAACATAAGGTGCTACATGAAATACCATTTACAAACTCAAATACTTAATGCTTTTAAGCACTTTCTCTTGTTTCAGCTTAACGTTAGATGAAAATTCTCTTCACTCTATAAATTTTCCTGTATGAAATTTGTTTTTTTAAAATAATATAGTAGTTTATTTTTACACCATTTTGTGCATTTTTCCATCTCAGTTGTAACCCCCTGGGGTTTCCCATCACCAGAAATTTCAGTTTTTTAAGCTAACAGCAAAAAAGTCCCTGATATGTATTCACTGTAAATTTTGTTGAGTATCACAATCATGTCCAAAATCAAGAGCTAAAAAGGTAGTTCACAACTTAGCTGTGTTGGTGAGTTGGCACAATGGTGTATCTACGTTCTTTCTACTTCTAAGTTCCCACTAGCTCTTGCACCATTTGTTTGTGTGGAAACTGCCTCAAAATAACAACGTGACAGCTGCGAAGTTTTTTTCCAGTTATATTTTACTATATTTTAGAGGGGATGGATATTATTTGTAATACCTAAGCACTAAAAGATTCAGAAAGTTACAGATAAATCCTTTGTGAATATCAGGAAGCTATGGCAACTGCACTGTAAATGTCTTAACATGATCAAGCACATAAAAAATGTTTGGCCTAATAAAAGTGTTTGTATGGAATAAGCCTAAATTTGTATTTGTTGCAACTAGTTCAGATAATGATTTGACTAATGTAGTATTTGTTTCGTTCAATATAAATCTTGCTCTGCCATGCCCGTTCTATGTTAATTTTCGAAACAATTCCATGCTGACTTTGCTGCCCAAAGACTCTTCAAGTGAGGCTTGCATGACATGGGAGAATACACAGAAAAGCATATGCAACTACAGACAACGCCCCTGAGCAACACTTGAATGACAAACGTGGGATCTTCAACCAGGAAAATACTTTGGCTCCCAAGCAAAACGATACCCTGCAAACATTTGTTCAACACTTAACTCAGAGAGGTCCAAATGCTTCATGAGGGGAGGGGGGCGGGGCGGGGGAAAACGAGCGGAGAAAGGCCGTGGGCGTGTCCCGCCTCTCCGAGGTATTACTCTGTCCCCCCAGAAATTCAGGTCTGGCCCTAACTTACAGACCCGCCCAGCAAAACAGGAGCGCAGCGGAGCTCATCAGACTCGTCCTCCGGAACGGCAATTAGCCGCCGAAGGCCACTGCTAGGTTGCCGCCCTAGGGGACAGCCGCTTTCCACCCAAGATACCGGTGCTCCTTCCACCCGCCAGCACCGCTCCCCTGGGGAGGGGCTCTGTCAGCGACCACTCGCGCCACAGCTCAGAGCTCCGAGCGGTCTCCACGCCGCAGTGTTAGTTCCAGGAGCTGTGGACCGCCGCTAAGGCGCTGCACCGGCGGGGCCCGAGGCCCCCGGGCATCGCGGCGCTGGAGGCAACCGAGACCGCGGCGACCCTGCGGAGACGCGAACTGTCCGCCTCCAGCCGGGGCCTTCGCGAGTCGTGGCACCCCCGAGTCCGCC